CCGCCGCGCAGGACGTGGCGGGAGGTAAGCGCGGCCCCGTCCCGGCTCCGTGACATCCCCGGCGCTCCCTTCCGCCGGGCCCGGGGAGGCGGCGGCTCGGAGTCTTGCGATCGGCTGAGCCCTGCCGGGTGCCCCCCCCCAGCCCCGCGGTGCAGCGGATGGGGACAGATGTGGGCAGAGCGCCCCAAACTGGTGCCTCTGCAGTTACTTTGGAGTCCGTTTTTGCGGGACGTGCGGTGCGTGGAGCAGCCCGGTGCAGGCTGTCGCCCCGTGGGCTGCACTCCCAGTGTGCGCTGGGCACGGGGTGGCCACTGGCCGGGGTGCTGTGGCCACGCCGGGTGGGGCTGGGCAGGTCCCAGCCTTGGTGGGAGCTCTGTGGGGTGCGATCCTGTCCAGCACGGGGCACTGGTGTGTCCCCCTGAGGGCTGGAAGGTGGGGTGCTGGAAGAGGGGCTTTTCTTGCAGCTTTTCCATCTGCTGCTGAAGTGTAACTGCATTTAGTGATGCTGATGGCTCAGCTAGGCCTCAGGCAGGAGTTGGGTACCTGTCCTGGGCAGGGGGGACTAGGAGAGCAGCCAGGCCCCCACCAGTGACCCGTCAGAGGAGATCCTCCTTCAGAACAAGGGAGACTGGCCAGAGAGCTTCAGACTAGGAAAAAGATGGATGCTGTCAGATCTGGGTGAGGAGCAGTGGGCAGCTGACTGCCTCCACTTGGTGGGCGGAGGATGTAGCATAACCCTGTGGGTGCTGTGCTGGGTAGAGGAAAAGCTCTAGTGGAGCATGGGGACAGCCCCCTTCAGGGATGTCCCAAGAAGTCTGCCCACTCTCCTGAGCAAGAGGAGCTGTTCTCCATGGGATGCCCACCCCTCTGATGGCTGCATGGTGGCTCCACTTGGGAGGAGAGTGAGGACCAGCATGTCTTCTGCTGTTTTCCTTCCACCTTGAGCCATTAACTTTCCTTCTTTTGTAGCCAAGTGGCAAAAGCATTGTCCAAGCTTCTCTCCACTCTTGTCCTGGAGGACTGTGGTGCTGCCAGTGCTGTCCTGTGCTGCTCCCCTGCGATGGGCATTTAGACAAAACGCCAATCCTGAAGGGCTGCAGAGATCCTGGGAACAGCCCAGTCCCATACAGCTGAAAGAGGGTGGCTTTGACTTAATGGCTTAGAGGATGAGCCCCAGCTGGGGGTCCCAGGAGAGGAGACACCTCAGGGGAAAGCAGAGCATCCGTAGGAAGCCCATTTAAAACTGCAGGCTCTCTTTTTGCCTGTCGATGGCCTCCTGCGGTGCAAGAGGGCTGCTTCTTGACTCCTTGTAAGCAAACATTCTTGGGGCAGCACAGGCGCTGTGATGCTTTTCCGGCTTCAGTTGGGGAAACAGGGAAGACACAGCTTCCTAGAGTGTTTAAAATCTGCAATCTCGGCCTCTTCAGGCAGTGTGTAAACACCCTTATCTGAGCTATGTTAATAAATTGCCCAGTTGTTTGGAGGACTGCACAGAGCATGTGACTGTTGACAGTGGGTCACAGCTGAGGGCTCCTGCCAGCTGAAGAGAGAAAATGCAGCTTTGCTGCTTCTCAGTGTGGAAAACAAGCACCTCTGGGGCTGATTTCTTCATGATTAAAGTTCTGTGAAGCAGTGATCCTTCTTTTGCCAGTTCCTGAGTAGTCAGGCAAATTGGTTTATGATTTTTTTAAAAAAAAACCCAACAAACCATGAACAGGCTGATGCATAGACTCTTTAGGCAGGGGTGAGGTTTAAATGGCTGATCCTTAAGGGCTGGCAAACCACTCTTGCTGAGGATCTGCGGGAACATACCAGTAAAATGGCAGGTGAGTCTCTTGTAGGAAGACTTTCCCAAGGAGCTAGTGCTGCTGCTGGGAGCTGCAGGCAATCCCTAGCTCCACTGACTGGCATCCACAGTGGCATTGGTGCTGAGAGCTCCCTTGTGTCTATAGAGCAGGGGTCCTCCTCTGCCAAATGGGGGTGGAAACAGGTTCTGAATGCAGGCGTAGATTTTGGCTGCAGTGCTGCTCCCGGATGAATTGGCTGGGGCAGGGTATGGCCCTTATGACTGACACACCCCCCCCACCCCCCACACACC